ATACAGTGGGAAACAATATTAATTAGGAGAATGTGATTGGGACTCACCTTCAACTCACAAGGGTGAAGGCCTCCTTCCACCCCAGAAACCCAGCCTGCTAGGTTTCTTAATATATGAGAATACAGGATTCATCCATATATACTCTCTTCCTGTTCTCTGGTTCCCACAATTTATCATTGGCTAATCCACTATATTCACTCCTTCTTTGTCCTCCTTGCACCCCTGACTTTACTTTCTCTCTCGTCGCATCTCCTACCTCTAAGCACATCTCCTACTCATAGTTTTGCCCCGGTTTGTCCTCTTCTAGTTTCTCCTCTTTCTCTATATTCTTCCTTATCTACATCTATTTTACCTGTTCCCTCTAAGAAAACATATCTGTATCTGAGTGTCCATTGCAAACTCACCCCTCAAATTCAAAGGTGAATCGGAATTGGAATACGAGGCCCAAGTTGGGACGGCATACCTTGGAGCTGCTGCTAACATTACCCCAGCCTCGAAGGATAAGTTGTTCTAGAGCAGTGGTCCTCAGACTTCTAATGCCGTGACCTTTTCATACAGTTCCTCATGGTGTGGTGACCCCCCCCCACCAGAAAATCAATTTCGTTGCTACTTCATAACTGTAATTTTGCTCCTGTTATAAATCACAATGTAAATATCTGATATGCAGGATGTATTCTGATTGTTAAAAATTGAACATAATTATAGTGATTAGTCACAAAACAATATGTAATTATTTATTGTGAAATATTTATTTCTAATTACAAATAAATGAAATTTTAGCATGGTGTAGCATGGGTAACAGTCTTAATATAACATCAGTAAACTACATTGCTACAATTTGCGACAGTATGCGTAAAAAGCCAACGTCGGTGCGAAGGTTGAGATAGCTTCTTTCTCACCAGATCAGAAATTCTCGGGGAAGTCTTTGCAAGAGCACAACGAAGATCATCTTCCACAGCAAGTCGACTTCTATATTTAGACTTGATAACCAAACAAGCTGGAAAACTCTGTTTCACAAAGATATATTGTTGGAAATAGAAGAAGGCACAACACAGTCTCAGACAGACTGGGATATGACTGCAAACACTTGATCCAGAATTTTGTAACTGGCATTGTAGAGAAATCAGTTTTCGCTGCATCACTGTTAATAAGTTCAATGAAGTCTTCTTGTGCTGTCTCAGGAACATCTTCAACTTTGACTGTGAGTGGGCTTCTGGCAAGTGCAAATAGGGTGTCAGGTAGATTTGGAAAGTATGATGAAATTTCGTCTGCAAGCATATGCAAGTGTTCTCTCACAGAAATTATCATCGTAATCCTTTTGTCTGGTTCAATGTCATGTTCCTCAATAAAAGCAGATAAGGTAGACAACATGTAAATTTTATTTTCATCCAATTTTTTTGCCAAGGCTGAAGTTTCATTTGGAATGATTGGCTCTTTTCAGAAAAATCAAGGCATGTTGCATTTGGTCCTTGCAGTGATAAATTTAACTCATTCAAGACGGCACTGATGTCAACCAAGTAAGCTATTTTCTGCAGTTCACTTTTATCGCTGTAAAGTGCTTCAACCTGCAGTCTTGGTTTCTGATTAAAAAACATTTTGAGTTTATCACAAAGCTCAAAAACACATTTCAAAACTTTTCCTCTCGACAACCATCTCACTTCAGTATGAAATACAGAGCATTATTTGGCGCATCCAACTCGTTGCATAGTTGCTAAAACAATCTACTGTTTAAAGTGCTCGCCTTTACAAAATTGTCGGAAATTATGATGCTTTTCATTACTTCTTGTAACTCTTGTGGCAGCATCTTCATTGCTAATATTTGCCGATGAATCATACAGTGAGTTCTGATGACTTTTGGTGACTCATGTAGCAAACGTTGAAATCCAGATCAACATCCTAGCCTAGCTGGAGCACCATCTGTGCAAACACCACAAATCTTTCCCCAAGAGATCTTATGCTCTTTCAGAAATGAACCAACCGTGTCAAATCCATCACATTCAGTAGTTGCCGTTTCAAGAGGTTTGCAGAAAAGAAACACATTTTTAAAGTTGCCATCATTAATATACCTCACGTAAACCTCACGTAAACTATGAACAGTTTGCAATGTCTATAGATTCTGGATGCTAAATATTGGAAGTGGAGCAGATTTAATTTCCTGGATTACCTGATCAAGGATATCAGCAGACATGTCATCTATTCTATAGACAGTGTCGTTAGATAAGGAAATTGCGCTCAATTTTGTAACAAATTCATCCTTTATCATAACTCAAACAATGTCTTTGGCCACTGGCAACAGGAAATCCTCAGCCATGGTGTGTGGTTTCATAGCTCTGGCAATTCTGAGTGCTACCAAATGTGAAGCTTCAACAGCTGCTCATTTTGTTTGTGGTTGTTGCCACCAGTGTCAAGTCAGGCTTTCTTGAGTCCATCAGCTTTGCTTCTAAAATAATTGGTATCCTTGCTGGCAAAGCTCGGATGCTTGCTATCAAAATGGTGTTTCAGTTTGTTTGGCTTATAGATTTGGCTGATAGAACTTCACTACAAATAACACATTGCGGTTTCTCAATTCCTGCTGTAATTATTGAGGTAAAACCATACTGTAAAAAATACTCACTGTATTTTCTTTTCTTAACATTCTTCTCTACATGATCCATTCATGGGATGGTTTTCTAATGAAAATAATATATAACAATAGTTTTAATAATACAAAAGATGAAACATTGCTTAGTTCAGTCCATACAGTTCATTAAAGTTTCCTATGATTTACCATTGTTTTCTTTTACATACCTGTTACTATCACAAGGGGGCAGTATTCACATCAACCACAGCTGAATATAAAAAGACAGATCAGCATCCAGATTAAGTTCCCAATGTACAGATATTTTTTGTAGTAGTTGATGATTTTACAGTACATGATTTTACATTTACCCAGTAGTTATAATTCATGAAGTGTCATTTTACCTCCAATACTGCTGCTTTCAACACAGTAGCTGCTTTTAACAGATAAGCTGCTCACTACATATGTGTGACTGGTCCGCGTAAGTACATGAAGGTGCCAACCCTGTCACATACACCTGTATTTGTTTGGGGTGTATGTGATGGGGTTGGCACGATGATATCATCACACCGGATGCTTGTATGTACACGGACCTGCATGTGGGCGGACCTGCCTGGGAACGGATAGAGGAGCTGTGTCTCGGTTCCTAAGACCATCGGAAATATGTGTTCTCCGATGGTCTTAGGCTACCCCCGTGAAAGGGTCGTTTGACCCCCCCAAAGGGGTTGTGACCCACAGGTTGAGAACCACTGTTTTAGGGGAAAGGATGATGATTTGGGCTCTACAGTGCCTTCCAAATAAAGACTCAACTCTTAGTTGTCAAAAAATTTATCCTAAAATACTGTTGCAGCCTTAACTCTCACTCTGGCATGCTATCAACTGCTTGGGAACTTACTGGTTCTGCACATCACTTTGTTGAAACATTGCCCCTCTTTAAATAACATCTTATCCATAGCAACTTTGTGGTTTCCCCAAGTGAAATTTTTCCTCTTCTCAGTTTCTGCCACTTTTAATTTCTATCTTTTCTTATTGCATCTGGCCAACTCTGTTTCTTTCCACGCTAGTTTTGCTTCCTTGTTTCTTTAGCTTCCTGTTCCTTTTTTCTGTTAACAAAATGGTGCCCTTTTCACCGATTGCCTTTGAGTAGTCTTGCACAGACTAGGACTGTGCACCCTAGAGTTTTCCATGGTTGATTTTTCAGAAGTACATCACCAGACCTTTCTTTTGGGGTGTCTCTCTGAGGACTCAAACTGCAATGAAAAGTTTGGTCGGCATGCTACTGGCACCCCCCGCCCTCCCCAAAGACTCCAGACTGTCTTGTACTTGGCATGTATCCATAAGAGTGTCTGTCTAGGGGTGGGAGAGGGCGTGACCTGGGGGGTGGCAACAAAAGCAATCATTAAGTTGAGTTATTGGGCCATATTTTGGGGTATGGATATCAAACTGCACATCCCGTGGAACTAGACAAACTGAATAAGTCTTCTCCCCCGTTAGTGTTCTCATACTGACCCTACAGGATGGGGTAGAAGTGCTCCTGTAACCCACTGAAATGCTCTACGGGAATGAAAAGTCTCTTCTTTCTCCTGCAGAGTGGCTGGTGGTTTCAAACCACTGACTTTGTGGTTAGCAGCTCAACTTGGAATCAGTAGGGTTGCTCTGAGTCAGAACCAACTTGATGGACTTCCCTAGTATTCACATGAAGTCCACATGTGACCAGGAAGGAAGCAGGTGTGGTGGAGGCCCAGCATTTAAGTGCTCAGCTACCAACCCAAATCTGGACAATTTGAACGCTCCACAGGAGGAAGATCCGGTGGTCTCTTTTCATGAGGATTCTAAGCAGGAGAACCCTGGGGTTTGCTCTGTCACGGAGCGTCACTGTCAATCAGAATGGACTCAGTACAGTGAGGAAACATCAAGCTGTTTGACCTAACAATGCTGGCGAGATAGGAAAACAGGGGTCGCTAGAAATCAGTGAGCGCTCTGGAGTCACGAATTCCATTTGCAAGTCTAAATATTCCGTTGATTTGTTTGGCATATGGGGCATACACTTCATGCTCCTTGAAAGTTTATAAAACATTAAAAGCTGCTCTAGATTTTGGACAGGTCTTAAAAACAGAAGGGGTAAATCCTGCATATCTGAATGAAAACCTGCATAATGCAATTCCATTTGCAGGGATGGGGGGGAGATTGACCAAGTAGTGCTACTTTAAAAAAGCATCATAATTGAACAAATATTTTCAAGCAGTGCCAGGAGCAGCGTTGTTTTTTATTATGATAACATGAAGAGAGCCACCGAACCGTTCCTCCTGTTTGACTCCTTGAGAGGCGTGTCTACTCCAAGAAATAAGGCATTCACATGAGCTCTCCACCCCTTTAAATTTGGGGTCCCTTCATCTGTGGTGCCCCTGCCTATTTTATTTACAGCATCTGTCTTTCTTCTTAGATTGTTAAAACGGGAAGAAAGCTTCACATTCATTCCTCGGTCCCGTGAAGAGCTTCCAGACAACTTCCCAAAGGAAATCCCTGGGATCTGCTACTTCCTGGAGGTAAGGACTGGTCCGAGGCAGCCAAAGCCCTCCCTCTCCTCATCAAGGATTAAAAAGGTTTCCTACAACATCGGCACCATGTTCCTCCGGGAGACGAGCCTCTGAGACCTGCTGCAGATCACAGACTCCTTTCTCCCAAAAGCACAAGCCCAGAACATGGGTCATGGCCAGCAAGTGGGAAGAGATTGTTGAGGACCAGCATCACAATATCTGTGTTACGTCAGGCAATAATCTACAGAAGGCTGAATGAGGACTGCCGATTAAAATCAGCTGAGAGGCAGGGGAAATAACATGTGTCCATCCATAGAAGTGTCTTGAGATATAGAAATATATATATATGAATCCATATGGGCCCCCTTTACAAACTATCCAATACACAGATTTCCTGTTTCTTTGTTTGTCAGACATACAGGTTACCTTTCCCTATATATTTGTACCACTTTTGAGATACAATTTTGGGTGTATATTCCTACATTTAGTGAGTTGGTAGGTAAGAAATGTTTTCTTTCTTTTCCTGAACAGACATTTCATACATATATGATTGCCATGTGATCTGCTTCCCAGCAGGAAGAACTTTAACTCCAAATACTATAGGGATATTACCTATTTTTATACATATCTCTTCTTCGGGATAATCCCACTTCACACAACATTAATCGATTTTTAGAAACTGCTATTGTATCATTGGACTATGATGTAACTCTAACCTATTAATCTAATACCATTTAACTTTATTTAGAAAGATTAGTGCTTAGACTGCAAATACACATAACCAAGGATTTCATCTGTCCAGAAAGCATTGTATGTCTGCTTAGTCAATATATCTTGTAGATTTAATTAATGTAGCTTAGAAGCCTGGGAAATTGGAATTCCTTAGTAGCATGTATATTCATAACCAAGATTAAGGAAGGGTCTTTTTGTCACCATCTAACATTGTACCAGTTAAAATGAAATTCTTGCCGCATTGGAACTTTTCAACTTAACACTTAAAAATATGCATTGTTTCCACAACATACTAAACTGCATTCGGTTTAACACCATCCTCCTGAAGGACAGGTTAGTGCCCACTCTCCCACCCTCTTTCACCGTGGATTCTTCCTAAGGAATAACTGCCACTCTTGGGTGGCAAGAGGGTTGCTTCTCCCTGCAGAACACAAAGAAGGAAGAATCTGTATTTTATGACATTGAGATTAAACTTTCAAAGATATGTCTGCAGTTTGATTGATGTGGCTTTTAAATTCAGTGAATCTTCTTTCTGAGTGCTGAAGTAGGTCTAACCTTCTGATCTAGTAATCACCATAGTTACAGGTTAGGTTTTTATTGCATGTTCTGCTCAAATAAAGACCTGTTCCTATTAGTCAACTCTGTATGGAAATACAATCAGACTCTCCCTGATATCCGAAGTGTGCTGTGTCCAGAGTTTTCACATTTGGATCAGATAGAAAACCTAAATTTCTATTGAGGTTAATGAACTGGGAGCATTTGTTTCCTCGAAACCTTGGTGTGGCCATGTTCTTACTCCACTAGACATAGTCATTGGTAGCTAATGGCTACTGAATGCAATATATTTATTTAGCTGGTCAGGGACTTCAGCCACAGTATTGTTTGGTCATGACATACTCAGCAAAGGAGTAGAATTAACATCCAATGTAGTCTTTAAGGCTAACTCAGTGCTTTTAAGTGCTTTAAGCGTGTGGCTAGAAAATGTAGATAATGCAAAGTAGTTCTTATACTCACGATCACTTTTGTAATTATTGAATTCTGCTTTCACCTTGGGGCTTCTGAGAATACTAGGGCAGCACTCTTCCTGTGGAGCAGAGAAAACCTAGGCCCGGGCAGTCTGAACTCTTTCACGTCTCCCTCTTCCCTGGTGCCAGGTCTCTGTTTTCACCGTAGGGCATGGAAGGCCAGGATGCTTATGGGAGCCTGTAGGCTGAGCACAGTGTACTTCCATGGGAATTATTACCCACAGAAGTCTTCGGGGGACTCAGATATTAGTCCACTAGGGGCTCAGCCAGTGTGGAAAGAGCAGGCTAGGAGTAGCTCAATCCTCATGGTGAGGTTAGAAAGCCCCTTAACTGTGCCAGCATGCTGCTATGCTAGTTTTAGCCCAGGAGCATGGGGAGAGAGGCAAGTTCCCTAAAGTTATTGACCATGATTCTGAGCAGTAACATTGAAGGTAATACCATACATTACATCAATAAACATTTTGGCGATAAACAGTGTATTTTTTAACCATAAACACTAAAGGGACTTCCAGGAATCATCCAATGTAATCATCTGCTTTTCGTGAGGCTTTGTCTAAGCAACTATTCTAATCTGTACTGTAGTGAATAATTTCTGTGGAAAGCATAGTTTAAAACAATCCTTGGAAAACCACCCCATTAGCTAGTAATTGGTGATTGGGTCCCAGAGAAGGGTTGTATATAATGAACAGTCTCAATTTGTTGCAAGAATCGCAATCTCTGTATTAGTTTATATGGTATTGCTTAGAGAAGTAACCACTCACACTGTCACAAATTTCACTTGAAGACTATATTAGAAATCTCTTATACCACAGACAAGATGTAAACTACACTTTTCACACAGAATAATCTAAATATGTCTTTGCAGCAATAGCTCAAGGCAGTGATCTAACCTGTTGCCATTTTGCCAAGCTAGTACCATGGATTATCCAAGTGGCACCATTGTTCCATGTGCGTGTGAAGCCTCCCATAGTAAGCCTCTCCATTCTAGGCGCAGACTTGAGAATCTGTCAGAAGCACTATATTTCTATTGTACGGCAGTCCACGTGTCCTCTACTGGAGCCATGTGACAACGTGGTGTCCTTGGGGTTTCACCTGAGGGATTTATGGTTTTCTCATCTACAATAAATGATGACAAGCATCCTGCATTTTCATGCATCAGATGAAAAGGATCTGCAATGGATGCTCCCTTCGAAGTAGAATGATGTTGAATTGGGAAGAATGGAGTAAATCTAAAAGACATACTTTTACCTGTCACTTTTTGGCCACAGTTCCCATCTTCATGCTCGTTCAAGCAGCAAATCTGAAGAAGGCACTTGATAAGTAACTTTCCAAAGCAAAGGTTCACATTGGCATCAGTATCATTCTGGGGGGAGCATATCATTGTTTACACATAAATCCATTACCTAAAAAAGCAGACTCCTCCAGTGTGTACTCCAGACGTAGTGCACACGGCCTGCCGGGTGAGCGCTAACAGATCACATTAGCCAGCGTACAAATACGAAGACTCCTACCCCTGCTGCAGGAATGCGCTCGCCTGAGTCTCTGGGCCCTGGTTTGTGGTGTAGAGAAAGGGAAAAAGAAAACACTACAGATAAGCCAACCATCTCCCAACTGCCTCTGTGTTCACCTTTTCTCTTATATTTAGAATTACTTTAGGGTTTCCCTTTCAGGACCTGATTCTCTAGGGAGTCCGGTGAGCTGGGCTGTATTATGACCCAGAGACAGGCAGTGATGACGGAGACTTGAGAATACATTTGTGCATTCAGCTCTTCCAGTGTTACAGCGCATAGTCTCACCCAAGATCCTCCTGCCCCCTGATGGCGGGTGCCGGTGCCAGGAACAGTGTTTCCTGAGAAAGCGCAGGCAGGAGGGAAGCAAGACAGAACGATCACCTTATAAATAAAAGTACATCCACAGGTGCAGTCAGGCTTTCAGTGTGACAAATTCCTACCAAGAGTGCGAACAATAAAGGAAAATTAAAATGGTCCACAGAGAAGGCAAAACCACAGAGGATTTGAAAAACCATCAGACTCTTGGGCTTTGTCCCAAGTCATACTGTGATGGATTGACAGTGTATGTTTGAAGCTGCGATAAGGAGCGCCCTTGAGATCATGGGTATCATTGCATGTATTAATCGAGGGCCCCTTGGGCTCCTGACTTGTTATGGACAGGGGTTGTGCAGTATTAGCACAGAAAGGAAGACGTCGATCCATAGTCATCTGTCTTGCCTTGTGAGCACTGCTTAGTCCATTTCAGACCCCCTGTCACTCTGTACTGTCACCGGAACCATCTCAAACTCAGCTCTGTCCATAGCCGTTCTCTCTCGGCCTCTGGAACTGACATGGTCGCAGAGAGTTGCTGATGGCTGCTTCCAGCAGGGAGGAAGACCCACCATGCCAGGCCTGAGAAACTGCCCTTCTGAAGGGACCCCAACCCTCACTGGGTCTGCTGAGACATTGCTCACATCTGCAACATCCTTTCTTTTCTATCAAATACCACCTGACGCTGAACACTTCCTGTCACTTCACCGAATGTTCCTTTGATGTTGTTTATTTGGACTCTGAATAGACTTTGGGGACAATAATACCTAGAAACTCACTCACACCCAAGACTCCGCCCACATATTGTACTCTGGAAATCTATTATTACTGACCATCACGATAAAGAAAAAGAGCATGTTGTTTCAGAGGCTTCTGAAAGCATCCTTTATTAGATATAGTCTGGGCAGCATTATACTTGAGGAATCGAATTATTGAATTTTAATATGTTCTAGTCTGAGGGACTAGTTATGGGCAGCTCTGGACAAGAATATACCTACTTCACAATCAGCTGGGCTAGCATACACACAGACTGTGTTAACATGATGAGACACACTTGATTCTTATGTGGGCATTTTGACCTAACTGTGGACTCATTTTCAGGACCCTCGTGGTGGTGCATAAAGAGCAGACACTGACGTCATAGGTAGGCGGACTCACACCTGTCACAGGCTACGAGATAGTGTGCAAAATTCCTTCCTCACACTTGATGCAACAATTGGAATCTTTCTGTTTCCTACCCATGTCCCGCCTTCTCTGTCTTTCTTTCCTTTCAAAAGGAAATAGTCATTTATACATGTTTGACATGGAAGAATCATGACAAATCTCATGTTGTCAAATAGTTTTATCAAGTAATTAGTATTGGTGTGTATGTGTGTGTGTGTGTTGAATGTAGACATTACATGGTTTTTGAGGAAGGGCTAGGGTAGAATCGTGTCTTTGTTTTAGTATGATGTGACCAAATTATGGCTCCCGTCAAGTATCCCATTGTTATTCAATTCGTATTAAGAAATAATCTGGTTCAGTGGTTCTGTTGATAAACCTAGCAATATCTGGCTGTCTTGATAATAATTACCTAGGAAGCTTTTAAAAATAGATGTTACAGGGCTTTACAATCAGCAGTTTGGGTTCAGTTGGTCTCAGACGGGGCCTGGGAATCTATATTAGGGCACCGCCATTGGTAATGATGCATGGCCAGACTGGAGAACCGCTGAAGATGCTCAAAGAACCCCAGTCACTGAAGTAGTGATGTCTTCTCTCATCGGTATTTATTTTGAGAAGGCAAGTACCAGGTTTTGTGTCATTGTTTCTTTCTTAAGTTTTAATTTTAACTTTGGCTTCAATGATAGTCTGCTTTTTGCGCATGAATCATCAAACTTATTCAAGACAAGTCAGCACTGATAAGCCTGAGGGATGAATATTGCTCACTATAGGGCTATTAGGCATACTAGATGCAGTACCATTTTCTTAGTTACTGCCAGAGCTGTGCAGTATATCACAATATTTGCTGATCCTCACCACCGAGGTACGAACTATGAACTGTAGACACAGAAGTAAGTGTAGTATCAATGTCTCACTTAGGAAAGCTTTGAATTTCACGTCATGAAAAGTCACAAAACCAATACCTAGTCTCACAGTGTACTTTTCACATGGAATTGTGCATGCTTCTAAAAATGATTTCCTAGCAATACCTTCTGACAACCTTTCAAGCAATAATGTGAGCCATGGTGATGATGCCTCATGATACTTGCACTTCTGTACATGTGGCCAGACCTCCGGGGAAATCAAGACATACTTCACAAAAGCAATAATATAGCTGGTGTGCACTCTGACAGAGAGCCAGCATCCTACTATAGCAAAATAAGCAGCGAGTGATGGCTCAGATAACAAGCCAGTGATCAAATGGCATGCCTTCGTCATTTGCTCAGAAGTCATTCGTTTGCAAACATGTTATAAAGTAACTATCATGCCACCATCAGACTGCTTCCTTGTATAACTTTCAAATGCTTATCATAATATTCCTATTTCTCTCAAGGTAGTTGTGTATGTATATATAGGTTATATATATATATATATATAAAATGTTGCCCCTGTCTTCGGGTCTTTGTAGTATGTGATTGTAAGGAGTAAGTAAAGGATGGATAAATGAATAAATGAGTCACAGATCGGAAGTGTTGATTGAGAAAGTCAGCTTCACAAAGGTGTAGGTAGGTCTTGGGGCAAGTGAACTAGTTGCATTGTTGGTGAAAGTTGTATACGGTCTCCGAAGGTGAAAGGCTGAGCATCGAAGGAGCTCAGTTCCCCTGTAGGCTGTAAGGGCTGTGCCAATACTTATTAAGTATAATAGTGCTTGCCTTCTGTATATGATTGGCTGAAGGTAATCTGTTAATAAATGCATGGAAACGGTCATGAAGTCCTCTATTTTAAAAGCCTGCCCTTCTCAGTAATTTTTGATGATAGTGCTAAAACTGGCAGATTGAAAATGCAAATTTCATATTGTTAGTCTTACTGACACTTTTTCAATCATATGTGACAAGTCCATAATAATTAGTCCCTTAATAGTAAAATTGCCTTTCGAATATTTAGAAATGTTTGTGTTAGAGCGGCAGCTGATAAGCTCGTGTTACCTTGATCTATGTCTATGTATCAGATTATGATTTAGCAAAATCACATAGACCTAGTATAATTCATAAGCCTCTAAATAAGATTACTACATAGCTAGGTAACCTCCCCCATGAATCTGATCATGATTGGAATTGTGAATGAACTTGCTAGTGTTTTATTTTCCCAGTTTTATTTGCATAGCAAGACCTGAAGTGAACATTCTCTTGACCGTACTTTGGAAAATTATAGCAGAAAAGAGTCAACAATTCATTGATAGAAGTTTTTGGCAATTGCCTTTTTGTGTAGTATTGGCTTCATAGCCACTATTTAGCGTGCTTTTGAATGTTGACTAAGAAGGAACGTGCATAATTTAACTCAGCCTCGTAGCACCGACTTTATCCTCCCCATTAACCGTGTCACTGTTCATCAGATTGTTCTTCATCTGAGGCTTAAGTATAGTCTCTTACTATCAGAATCAAAGACGAGCAAAGGAACAAAATAGAAAGCTCAAGAGCTCAATTCTGATTCTTTGGACACATTTTAAAAATTAACAGCATTAGGTTATATTCAATCTTCTTCTATAGCCTCTTTTACTCTTCAGAAATAAAGAAGGGAATCTACTAAATACATTGTCCTGTGTTCTATTTAATATCAGTAGATGAAAGTATTCCCTGGGAAGAAAAATTAGAAAAACATTTGCACCACCTTGATCTCTAAAAATAATTCTTCTTCTCGTTTGTCTGCCTCGACGTTGCACATTAGACTGGGGACACAGGGACAGGTGGATGAGGGTGGGCAGCGGTTTTCAATGAGGAAGACCAAAGAGATTTCATTTTTCTCGAGGAAAGTACAGAGACTCTCAAAAAGGAGGCAGTTTCCATAGCAGATGTCTCTGGTTTAATGAAAGCCAAAGGATTTATCCGACTCCCGGCCACTCTGGTGTTTCAAAAGAGAAAAGAGCCTTCACAAGCCCGGTTCGATTTTCTTAGGGACAGAGTGACAGCGTCCCCACAGCTGCTCGTCTCAGGAAAGGGGGGATGAGGGGCTCAGGGACCTATGAATAGAAACTCTCTGAAGGTGCCAGATAGAACGATGAAGGGAAATGACAGTGTCAGAACACCTGGACAGAGGGACCGGAGACGGCAGATGCGCTCCCGTGCGTCCCAGCAGTCAGCTCCGAGGAGCCGGGAGAAGAGGCGAGGAGGCGCCAGGGACAGGAAGGCGTTTCTTCTTCCTCCTGTCGACTGCCTGGCTGCACGGAATACTCCGAGAAAAGAAAACAATTTGGTTTTGTGCTTCCTGTCCTTTGGTTCTGACAGTATCGAAATGAGATCTTTCTGTGAGTGGATAATGATTATTCTGAGCATTCTGCGATCTCTAACCCTATCTCAGAGCTCAACTCCATTCCAAAGCACCCAGGTGCACAACCGTTGGACAAGTGATTGCTGACCGGAAGGTTGGCCGTTAACCCCCCGCTGCAGTTCAGGAGGACAACGTGACTGCCTAGCAAACAGGGAGGAAGGTCTTTTAGTCACAGTTCAGTGGTTAGCACCCAATACCAACAAAAACGTACCTGGCCCCTATTCTTCTCAAGTTAGGCATTAGCTGCTGGCAACTTGCAAGGAGAAGCCAGGCCTTTGCAATGCACCACGGCAGCTCCAGGCCATAACCAGCAGCAGCACGGGTGGTGTTCTGTAGAAACGACGAGCATGCTCTCTCCTTCTGAATCTACAAGTAGAGAGGTAGTGTCTTGTCGTTCGAAGATGGTTTTCACTGAGACATCACTGACATATTCAAGACGTTTGTTCAGAACAGAAATTGCTCCAGAGAGGTGTGTGGGAATAAACTTGAGTAATTTCCATCTTTCTTTCTTTCTTAATCAGAATGACTAGTTAGAAAAATAATAGAGTACAAAGATTGGTAGTCTTGGGAGAGTCAAATACTATATTGCAACCAAATCCTAACTTGGATTTGGGATGCTCCAATACATTACTTTTATCAACTATGTGCTTTGTCTAAAAAGTCTACTTTATTTTCTGACTAAAAAATTCTTCTAAAAAACCCCCCAAAACAGAAAAAAAAACCCAAACTAAAAAACCTCCAAGTGTAGATCTGACTTTAGCCAAAGCCTGGATAAGCTAGATAACTATATCATTTCTACAACAATTCACAGAGATGGATTGCTTTTCAAAGTTTGCTCTTATTGTTTGCTTTCATCGTCATTGGCAGATGGCAGCCAGGAATAGGACTGTTTACTTGGTTTCCTGTGAGTGCCTGGACATCTGAACAGGACATTGACCTTGGACATTGTCAGGCCCTTTTTCGTTTTGCAAGTCAATGGCCTAGAATGATGGGTGCTCATAGCGTTTTCTTCTAGTCCCTAAAAGTGCTAGGGGTGTGTGTGTGTGTGTGTGTGTGTGTGTGTGTGTGTGTGTGTGTGTGTGTCTGGGAAAAAATCTCCCATTTTATCAGCTTATAAGACACACTTCAGTTGCAATCAGCAAGGATACAACAAAGAGGGAGAAAGAGGTGCCAGTCGGGGAAGACAGAAGGCAGAAAAGTCAAACTCTGCCTTCGTTACAGTTATGACTGGGGTCCAACCCTAGAACCTTGAAAAAAGTTGAAAATAGACGGCGAAGCTAACAGATTTAACACAGTGTTTCTATGTCACACCATGTTGCAAAAGATCAGATATGTTCATTATATCAGAACTTTGATAAAACAAAAAAGAACTATGTCCATCAGAATGAAGCTGTTTTCAGGTGATGGAGGTGTGGCTGCCTGAGAGAGGGAACTCTGACATTTCGTACGTCCATCAGAGCAGCATTTCTTTTATTTTGGGAAAGTCAGGTACCATGTCTTCCGTTCGCATTGGCTCCATGCCCTACTGGCACTTTAGTAGGAGAAGCCATGCAGGAGTCCAAGAGGCGGTGTCACGATGACGGGAGCGTCCGTAGAGGACAGTGTTCCGGCTGACTAAGGCTGTGGGTGGGTATGTAACGCAGGGACGATGGCACAGGCATTCTGGGCCGTCAACTAATTAGCCCCGGAAAACTTCTCAGTAGCTGCAGCTCCTTTTGTATCTTCTCTTCCCTTCCTCTCTTGTTCTTTTCTCTCTTCCTTTTTTTTATGTCCCCCTCATTCTTAAAGGATAAATTAAAGTAGTACTTTAATATTTGGGGTAGCAGCTTACCTCTGTACTTCCACTTTGCTTCGTTCACTGTGAATTAGTGATATGCTGAGGAGAGTGAGAGAAAGATCATTAAGATCATGGCTTGGGGTGGCTGAGGCCATCAGTCAAGAGGATCTTGAGTCCACAGAAATTATGTATGTTATTCTTTTTCACTGAATTTTAAAGACTTTCTCAAGAAGTATCAGTGTCAGTCTGTATTGTTTTTGTAACCTCCTATTTTTATTCCCTGCAAACTTCTTCATTTGTGAGATCCAATTTTCAGATAGTCATTATTTTATTTCAGTGCCACATGGCTAAGGGGTTAAACAGGGAAGAAGCTTCTGCTATGTGTAGCAGAATTTATTTCCTGAAAATGACTTCCCAATCAGGGGCAGGAACCAATGTTGCTTGTTTTTTTAACTGGTTCCCTATCGTAAATATGCCCTGCACCCTGTATACCCGCTTTATAACTCAGCTTGGAATAGCATGTGTTCTGAGTGTCTTTCCGAAGGTTAGAAAATATTTGCCATCAAGATTATAAGCCTCCTCTCGTGAAAAAGCAATATACACTCGATATGTATCTCCTGGCGCTCGATGCCTTCAAGCTTCTATCATAGATTCCGATTGCTGTTAATAACCATAATTTTGACTTCTTCACAAGAATTAACCAACTGCTATGCTCTTAAATACAAACAGATACATTTGGATCGCTATATGACTAATCAAGGGATCCATTGTTTTCAAAGCCCACTCCAAAGCCATTTTATTCAGGGAAAATCCGATCACTTGTAACAGAGTATCTTATTCATGGAGAAAATGAAATCGTGCGCAAGGCAGACGAGAATCTCGTTTCAGTTCAGACTGCCCTCCACCCCAATACTTATGCAAACATCCTTTCACAAGTCTTGTTTAAGATTAAAAGAACCTTAACTGAAACGTTTATTCTTCACATGGTTTCTGGTGTTAGTGTGTTAATATTATATCCAAACTACTTAACCTATCTCCATGACGTATATTTGTTTGTGACCATTGAAAGTAAATGCCTTTTCTCCCCTTAGAAACGTATGTCAAACACTCTCTGAATTCCAGTTCCCACTTCTCCTTGGCTTGCTTTGTAATGCACCTCCGGAGTCTTCGGATCTCACAGATCATGTAGTCAGGCAGAAGAGGACTAATTGAAAAAAAACTGTATGAGTTAGAAAAACATTTTAAGGAAGAATTGTTATGTTAATCTATTCCATACTGACTACTTTATTTGAAAATTACAAGGGCCAGGCAGTTGCCATTCACATTGTCACCACACACACAAACACATGTTTTAGTCCTATGACTCCCAGTGTTAACTTAACATGATAGACAATTTTAATACTTGTTCAAATGGAGAAATATGAAATCCTATACTTTACCATTGTTATTTCTTTGGAGAAAGATTTTTAATAAGTGGATTTGAAAATAGAAGAAATATGGTTGAGGAAAAGAGAAGGATAGATGAAATTTGAGCAGCTATCACATTCACGGTTTCATTGTTTTTGCTGCCTCCTAATGAATTGATATTTAAGGGTTAGATTTGCCAAATTTACAAGTTAAGCTCAATTATTTTCTGTTCTAAGAAGTTAATGGTAAACAAAAATTACTCCAAAGTCAAAGGAATGGATTTAGAGCCTGATGGCAGGCGATGACTACTAGGGAAGTCAGGTTAGCTTCCAAGAGAAAAAAATGGTTATGGGAGAAAATACCGCCTAGCCTTTCTCAAGAGTTGGGGGGAAGGCTTTTTCTTTCTTAAGAAATCCAATATCTTGCTGAGTGTTTTGTCATGGAAAAGCATGAAGTTTCATAACAACTGCCTGTAACTACACTGTCACTTTTACTCAAATAAAAAGATGTTTCAGGATTCTTTGAAATGTGCATTTAATGGCATTTTAGAAATAATACATATCATTTTTTTCATTTCAAAATCAACCTACCTGAACTCTGACTCTTCAACTGTGAGTAGCCATTTTACAAACCAAAGGGTCTCATTTCCCACAGTACTTTGGATTAATAAACTTAATTCTGCTCATTTCAATGCATAAGGAAAGCACCCAGCGTATTTCGATCAAACATGCCAGCACTATTAATAAATAGACTTCCAACGAACTTAATAAACACACATAATTGCAATGTGCTAGAAACCTCCATTAGCTTCCTCTGCATGGGGTAGTTTTTAATTAACCAGATACCTGAATTATTTTTAACACTTTGGCCAATAAGTTTGCTTCAATTACATGGGTCTAAATTATTTGTTTGGCTTGCAATGTAAATAATATTGTACACCAGCTATTTTGCTATCAGATTATACTTTGTGAAAATTTTTCTTTTAAAAATCTACTTATCACAAACAAATTACAATGTCATCAAATACAACCAGATAAATATACTAATATATCTGTAGGGCATGGTTAAATTGCATATATTTTGAAATGTCAAACTATTTTTGTTTTCTAAAAAAAAAATTGAATGCATCCCTTAAACCTGTACCATTAATAAAAAATGTTTCATTTTGTGTTTCATATTATATTTTAAAATATTTTACTTTGTCCAGTAGTACAGGTTAAAAACCCATTATTTCTGATTGAAATGATAAAATATGCCTCCTTTCATTAGAAGTTTAAGATTTACTAATACATATAAAGTATTTGATCACTTATAAGACTATAAGCATCTACTGCATCTTCTTTGTTTTTCATGGAGCACTGCTTTTTACTCACTTTGATTGCTTCTATTTGTAATTATTATAAGTCACGCACAATGTATATAGCATGTTTCATTATGCAAAGTGTCTATACTTAAAGGCTGCAGAGCAAGAGGATTTTGTATGTGAAAAATGAGTGATGGAAAACTGAGATTCTTATAAAACAGTGAAAATGGTAGTTGTGTGTTATATTTACATTATTCATCACCAAATTGTCTGTTGTGCATTTATTTACCTTATAAATCCAAACTGTCACTTATAATATATTTAAATCAATAAATTATACCCAAAAGACAAGTCTATGGATTCCTTTTTTCCCACATTGTTATAAAAGTGAGTAGAAAATGAACAAATGGGGAACAAATAAATGAGTATTTACATTCACTACCTTTATGGATGAGGAAAATGCTGCTGTCAGTAACTGTGTGTGTGTGTGTGTGTGTGTGTGTGTGCTATATGTGTATCTATGCATGTAAATGTACAGATAAATAGACCTATATATGAGACAATATGTAAGGAACCCTGACACACTATGGGCTAGGTGTTCGGCTGCTGACCTCAAGACCGGCAGCCAAACCTAAGCCACTCCTTGGCTGTTTGCTCAATTAAAGATTTACAGTCTCTGAAATATTCTACATGGTCTCTGTGACCCAGAATCTACTTGATGGCAACGGGATTGGGCTTGAGTTTTTGTAGTTGTATTTTCCAATCTTAATCAGAGAAAGACCTCATACACTACACATTTACTTCCCACTCATGTATTGAGCCAGAAAGGTTCCAGGTTAGGATAAAACTGCTTCCTACTTTTACTTAAGGATCCAGACTGCTGGTAGCTTCTCCGAGCAACATTCGATGGCTCAGGCCTGACAGCCACACAAGTCGCATTCACTCCCACGATAGCACGTAGACTTGCTTGCAAGGCCACACCAAAAGCCTGATGGGAGGATGGAGAATGCCCTTTCACTGTGTGTCCAGGAGCAAGAGTAAGGATTGTGGTGAACAGTGAGCTACTTCTACCATTACGTTTTTTACTTTGAGTGTATTTATTATCTCGCTCTCAGGAAAACCGAATTATATCAGTCCAGGTCTCTGTTTCTACATAGCCAAGATTATTCAGAAACAGTAATATAAGGTTAGCTATAAAGTTATATAGGGTCTCTGAGACTCCTGGACAGAGATGTTCCAAACAAATTGATGAC